CAGGGCTGCTCTCAATCACATCATCCCCCAGTTTGTACTGATATCAGGGGTTGCCCCGACCCAGGTGCAGGACCGTGCACTTGGCCTTGTTAAACCTCATGAGGTTCTCACGGGCCCACCTCTCAAGCTTGTCCAAGTCCCTCTGGATGGCATCCCGTCCCTCCGGCGTGTCAACCACACCACTCAGCTTGGTGTCATCTGCAAACTTGCTGAGGGTGCACACGATTCCACTATCTATGTCATTGATGAAGATATTAAACAGCACTGGTCCCAGCACAGACCCCTGAGGGACACTGCTTGTCACCGGTGTCCATCTGGACATTGAGCCATTGACCACCACCCTCTGGATGCAACCATCCAGCCAATTCCTCATCCATCGAACAGTCCACCCATCAAATCCATACCTCTCCAATTTAGAGAGAAGGATGTTGTGGGGGACCCTGTCAAAGGCCTTACAAAAGTCCAGATAGATGACATCCATAGCCCTTCCCTTGTCCACTGATGTAGTTACTCCGTCATAGAAGGCCACCAGCTTGGTAAGACAAGACTTGCCCTTGGTGAAGCCATGCTGGCTGTCTCGAATCACCTCCCTGTCCTCCATGTGCCTCAGCATAGCTGCTAGGAGGATCTGTTCCATGATCTTCCCAGGCACAGAGGTTCCAAAGCACTGCTTTTACTGGCTAAATAAGGAAGTGAATCACAGCTTTATAAATAAATTAGTGAAATTACACTTCTCTTGAGAAACCGGTGACTTATATTTTTTATTTTTTTTGTAAGTTGCAATTCAGTGTCTGGAGACTGTGTTTAAGATTAACCTGGAAGATACTCATCTTGCACCTCCACAGCATTTGATAGAAATGTTCACAAATTCTTTTCACAAGGTAAGAATTTCATTTAGATTCTAGAGTTACTCTGCCAATATGTGCTAAGATTTCATATTGTGTACACAACCTTAAAGTGCTGTATAGGTCAAAACAGTGTGGAAACTTAAGGAAAACAGGAAAAAAGTGAAATTTCCGTAAAAGCTAGCAGAATCTTTTGGGGCAGTGCGAGGAATTAATTTCAGCTAGACAAAGACAATTCCATATAGAATATTACTAAACAGTGCATGTCTTGTTCTCACTTGAAGGATTTTATTCTTCAGTAAAGCATTTTGCAATTCCCAGAGATAAATGTCTATGAAGTGCTTGAGGTCATTTGTAGTTTGCTGATGCTTCTTATTCCCTTCTGGAAATAATTTAGTGGTTCAGTTTTAAAAACATCACCATGAACATTCAGCTTAAAATGGGAACTTCAAAAATGTGTACAAATAATATGTGTTATCTAGGATCCCCAGTACAGGAAGCACAGAAACCACCAGCATGGCAAATAGGAGAGTCAGAAATAAGAAAACCAAGACTGTAGAGACATATCAGCTCTCTTCCCCTTGAGCTCCTTAAAATGTGTGCTGAACCATAAGGTTTTTTTAGTAACAGAAAGCAAGCTATCTCTCTCTTCTAAGGATGTTTTAGTGATGTTTAGTTCTTTCATACTTCCATACTTTCACTACAGAAAATCTGGTTGCTTGTTGATACCATGCTGCCCAGGATGAAAGAAGTTTTTAATAAAATCAGGACTTACATTTTAATGAAAAAAAATCTTGGTTTATTTACATACAGAATGACATGCTGCCTCTCTCAGATTCTTTGCCAGAGGATGTTGAAAAGGCTGACCAACTGAAGGATGAAGGTTTGTAATAAATGTAGGAATAAACATCTTGTACTTTTAATAAGATTTCTGGGTTATCGTGGACAGTGATAGTATAGCAGCTGGGCAACACACACCCCACACAAAAACTTAAGCTTATATTCTTTGGTGATTGTTATGTTGTAAGAGGGCTAAGTGGTTCGCGCCATCTGGGGTTTAAGTCTATTCTCTCCCTTGCTCAGGAGGTTGCTTAAAAATTAAGGGATAACACATGAAGTCCTAGGCAACCTTACTGAGTAGTGGAAGCTTTAAAGAGTGAGGTGTTATTGTTCGGTATATTATAGATTTCTATGTCCATGGAATTGCTCTACAAGTTTCTATTTTATATTGAAAAGGTTATGTAATGTCAAGGATTATGTGCTGGCTGAATATTAAAACGTTGGTAAAAAGCTGACCTACCTGAAGCCAACAGAAAAGTTCTTGTGAACTTATTAGGATTAGTATTTCACATATGTAAAATAATTTGTGTGCTCTATAAAAATTGCAGAAAAGCCAGTTGTTTATTTTCCCTTTGATAGATGTTATTGCTGTTATGTGAGGAAAAGCAGCTGTACCATAGAAGTCATCACTAATGCTTCCCAAGAAGGAATCCATTTTATTTCCCCCACAAAAAGAATGGGGGAAAAAAAAAAGGCATGTAGCACTGATAACTGATATGATTTGTTATCAGGTTGATTGATGCTTTATAAATCACATTTCTTATGACCTGCTGGATTTTCAGATATTTGCTTTTTATAGAAAAAACAAGTAAGATTCTAATTGCAAGGCAAATGTAATCCTCTCAAAAAATTCATGATAATGATGTGGAAAAAGTTCTGCTTTTTTTGAGAATGAGTTCCATGTCTGTCTTATCTTAAAACTGGTCACCTGTAGTCATGAATGCAGTCCATTACCGGCTCTGAGAGTAAGTTTTCCTAATTGTTGAAGTTGCTCATTAGCCCTTTAATTCTAAGGATAAGAGCTCAAAAAAGTTATGGCACAAGTGAAAATTAGTTTCTAAGTTGTAACATACCCGCTCTGTGTGCTGGCTTTTCATTTTGCTGTCTGTTACTACCAGCTCATGGAAAGTGAAGAATACCTGTAGCACTCAGTATGGTTATTGGGCTGTAGGGATATTCAGCACTGTCCAGGTGTGGGTGTTATAGCAATGCCTGTTTTAAATCTATGACTTCAGTCTTGTCATCTGTCAGCCCACAGAGGTTTGTGAAATAAACTGAGGAAGTGAAACTGCGTGCTATGTGTTAGTCTTTGTGTGGTGTTACTAAAGCAATTCCATGTCTCTACTGAAAAAATTGAAAGGGTCTAAACTTCGACTTAAAGTGTCAGCTATCAGGGACACTAGTAAGTTTGGGACTGCTTGAAATGCCTCTCATTAATTTCCCATAATAAAATTAAAACTTCCTGTCCTATTTTCTAATGCTGCTCTGTCATATTAATCCTCCTCATTTTCACAGACGTCTTATCTCTCACCACTATCATTCTTTTCAGTTATGAGTATTTCCTGCCCTGAGTTAGGGAGATAAATTAGATAATTTGGGGAAGTCCATTTGGCCCATATCTTCTGTAATACTCTAATTCTGTATCTGTCATTTCTTCATTTCTATCTGTATGTCATTACCAATGGAGTAACTTCCCTCACCTTTGTGGCCACCAGCCTGCTCCTCCTCTGCTCTCAAACCAGCCCTAGTACCTGTAGAAATCGGCTGATGAATGGCAAAAGAAAATCAGAGAGCTGAGTTTTCCTTCTTGGTCGTTATAAACCCAGGAAGTAATATACCCTTCAGACTAGTAAATACTTGAATTTACTTGCCTACCCTTGTGTATCACTTGATTCTTTGGCTTAATGTAAGCTCTGTAAGAGCACAGATTATGTGCAGGTTTGTATAGCGTAACAGTGGCTTGATCCTAAAAAGATCTGAGTATTACCAAAGTATAAATTATAACAATAGGTAATATTTTCATTATAGAGGACACACATTCAAAAGTAAAACCATTTGTGGTGTTTTTTTTTTCTTAAGAATTTTTGTCTGGTGTTAAATATTACAGTTGCTTTTCTTTTTTTCCTGACTTGCTTTATCTCAGCACAAATAGTAGGTCTAGCTTTTTTTCTGTTTTCCTTTAGCCAATTTTGAGCTGGAGAGAGAGAGGAAGAAAGGTACTCAGTGATCCTAGCTCCAGCTTAGCCCGGTACCCCAGGTCATCTTCACTTCAGCACAGTAGCAGAAATTCCAACTTTGATAGTCATTGCTGGAAGTTTTGATTTAGAGAAATGTTAACTGTTGCAATCTTGTTGAGTGCAGCTAACTTTCAAGTCTTTTATGTGACAACAGGATTTAGTGTACAGACCTTTACCTTAGATCAAAGGAAAGGTGTGTAGATGTTAGAACTGTAGAAATGAGAGAGAGATGATTACATTCAGTGTATATTTTGAAGGTACGCATGCAATTACAGTTTCAGTTTGCCTTCTTACTGGCAGGAATTGCTGACTATAATTACAGTCTAGTATATCACTGTTGGGGAGAGATGATTTTGTGCTACCTTGATGATACGTAGTTACTTAAATCTGGTTTTGTTTATTAAGCTCTCCATGTTCACAAGTAAAAGCAAGGATAGTTGTTTTCCAGTTAGTACAGGCACCTAGGACTTCTTGCTCCACAGTCTTTTGCTTTCTGTTATCAGAGACAAAATGTTGCACTGGCTTAACTTTTCCAGCCTTTGCTTAGGCAATTATCTGTATGTAACCTGTTGACCTATGCCTTCTCTTGCTTTTGGGAGAGGGTTGAAATATTTTGCCAAAATACAAGGAAGTCAGTAGAAGTCCTTAATTTTCCTGTCAATTTCTTGACATTCCTGGGAAACCAAGGCTTCTGTAGGATCTTGCAGGCCAAAGATCCATAGTCTCAGGACCAAGGACAACCTTAAGCTTGGGCCCTCTGAACTAGGCCTTCTTCTCTACTACTCTGTCATTAAGTAAGAAAGAAACTACAGGACTGCCCTGGGTTGGGGAGGAAAGAATGTGTAAGATATCTTCTGTTTTGAAAGACCTTACTCCAGAATTTTCTTTCCATAGAAAATATTTTTTTTTCTATTTTTTTCACTGGACTTAAAAAATATGAAATATGGAACTTCATTATAGAGTAGAAGTTCTGAGCTTTGTTGGTGAGAAATGTTACCTCTGAATCATTTTAGATTGCCTGTGCTATACATACTTTTCATTATCTTAATGAATGAATTATGTGGAATCACAAAAGTGGGGCTTATGTGCTTAGTTTTGATTTTATTTAATTTTCCATGTTATATGGATAGTTACAAGCAAGTTGCTGGGGTGTGTGAGAAAATAAGACCAAAAAGGAATTAACATATAGCCTGTTGGATTATGAGGCTGGCAAAGATAGTTAAGACTGATGGATCTGTATTAGAGTGGAACTGCAATTACAATTACACTTCTCAACAAAGTGATCTTTTGCTTAACAGCAGAAACTAGCTGTAAAGTGTGAAATAGCAAGATGAGAAGAATGTTTATGTGCTGGACTACAATGTACATAATAAACTTTACAGACATAGTAGGTATTTTTATTTGCATTTCCATGTCAATTCTATTTAAAAGAATGTATCTTAAAAAAAGTCATAACTACCTTATATAGATGCTATAATGTGGCTGTGCTATTTCTTTCATACATAGCACTGTATCTTTTAACTACTTAAGAGGTTTTTATAATTTACTTCAGGTAATAATCACATGAAAGAAGAAAATTATGGCGCTGCAGTGGATTGTTACACTAGGGCTATAGAACTGGATCCAAACAATGCGGTCTATTACTGCAACAGGTAAAAACAAAATAACACACACTTTTCATTCCTGAACTTCATTAAAATTATTTTAAAGGTAAATTGTGAAGTAGATCAAAACAATACGAGGCTAGAAAACCCCACTATTCAGAAATTTATCCTGTTAAATTTGTAAAAGATCTAAAGCGAAAGTGAGCTCATTCAGCCTATCTGTATCAGTTAAAGGTATAATATGGGCTTTAAAATTACTTGTAACACTTGAGATCAGGTTTCTGTGAGTTAGGCTGTCTATATTAAATCATAATGTAGGCTGTGATTCTCAGTCTGTTGAGAGTAGTAAGAGCCTTTTTTTCTGGTATTCTAGTGACTCATCTGTCATGTCTATTTCCCCTAGTATTGACTTTCCCTGGAAAAAATATCATCAATGTGGGAATACCATTTTGGAGATTTCAAGCATTGTATAAATACTCAGCATTTTTATGCATGACCTGTTGAAAAATAACAAGGCTGTTGTTGTAGTTTCATTGCATAGTCTGTTCTTCACCATACTGAAGTCATAGTGACGTAGGAGCAGATGAAGTCTGGAAGTGCATGTTAACCCAGTTCCAGAGTATGCTTTTTTTCAGTATACTGCCTAGGAGACCAGTGTAAGAGCAAAGGCAGCGGAGTCTATGAGCCGTATTGGAACTAGCCTGCCTCTAGAGCCCCTCTGCTCTACACTCTTCAGTGCCTCCGTTGCTGGACAGATATATTTACATAAGTGCTGTCAATCTGGCCTTGTGGCACTGTACCCAGTGGATTTTTCTATTTTTGGAGCTGTGCTTCCATTATTCCAGAGTTTAGTTTGTGATAAATACAAGTGAAAGATTGAGTGTTTTGTGGCAAGCATAAATGGAAAGGAAATACGCAGTCTACTAATATTTTACATACTTAAGATGGCAGTTTAAAGTGTAAATCATCTATTTTCCTTTAGAAAACTGATCATATAAGTGATTTTAGGTATAAAATGGAAATATAAGCTCAGATTCAAAAGCCTTCTAAAATCACTGAAAGTTTCCTCAGTAGAATGGGCTTAAGCGCCAAATCTGTAATTGGAAAGCGTAGAAATACTTCACTCTGTGTGTTACATCATGACATACCACATTTATGGGGACCAAAATGAATTGTGGTGTCAGTAAGCACAGTATTGTACGAAGTTATTTAAAAGAAGACAGGCAGTTGCTGGGAGTTTTGTGGGTGATGTGGTATTTGAATAAATATAAGCTTTATTCTTATCTTTCTTAAGCTAGTTTGGGAGCAATGGAGACGTATTGCCTTCAACAGTATTGCTTTTTACTCACAGCAGTGAGAAAAAGAGAGAGCTGAAAAGCCCTCAAAGTTTTAACTGGCCATATAAATTTTTTATAAACATGGAAAAAACGTTTTCTGTTCAAACACATGAGAGACTTAAGCATTGTCCCCAGCTTTTATCCATACATCTTCACTGGTATCTGTGAAGCTGGACAACTGTTAAGCAGCCTAAATATTTAAAATATATAAGTAGTCCCATTCAGAACATATTTTAATTAAAGTCAGAAAAAACATGCAATTTGGAGGTTATCACAGGAGAAAGGATTGAATAGAGTGATGATTGTAGCATCTAGCATTCCTAATAAAAGGAATAATGCTTTATGTAATGGAAATACTGTCATTTCTACTACATTTTTTCAATCAAGGAAGAAAAAATTACAGTGTTTTGAGTCCTTTCAAACTGGGGAAGTTTTGATTATTAGTCTGTTTCAATGTCCTTTTTAATTTGGGCAAGTCTTTAATCTTACTGTATAGCTGTTGGCAACGTGAATTGCCTGCTAAAAAATTGAGAAGGTAAAAATCACAGCATTCCTTTGAATGGCAGTAAAACTGTACTTCTGGCTGGAAAACGCCAATTCTATAAAATACTTCTCCTTAAACAATGATTTTATGTAAACTACTACTTGAGAGTTTCACTTCTTGTAATAGATTTTACGATGTATTTTACGCATAGTCATATGCTGGATCTAAAACCGTCCTTAGAATAATTTACTCTTTGTGTCCTCAAAGGTGAGTGCGTGTTCTTCAAAGCTCTAGTCTAGCAATGCACTTAAGCACATACTTAATTCAGAACGTTTGTTTGTCCTACTTAACTGTGGAAAGCTGAGGCATTGCCTAAATAGTGAATGAAAAGTCAGCAAGAGTGAACAAGTCTAAAGTTAGTCATGGACATGTGAATATCTAAGCCTGGGGTTTTTTTCTGTTACTGTTTTTTTAACAAAACTCTCTCCCTTCCCTCCTGTCTTCCTCTTAGGGCTGCTGCTCAAAGTAAGCTCAACAACTACAGTGAAGCAATAAAAGATTGTGAGAGTGCCATAGCGATAGATCCAAAATACAGCAAAGCATATGGGAGAATGGGGTAAGCTAATAAAAATCTGAGTAAACACTGAAGACCCAAATGTAAATCATACATTTTCTGAAATAAGTGGAGCTAGGTTGTTTTACTTAGCTGACACTCTTGTTCTGAATGTGTAACAATTTTCTGAGGATGACCCATCAGGCTGTCAGCTTTAAGTTTTATATATGTGGTTGATCTCAGCATTTTCATATCAGATTTCATCAGTTTGCAATTTTTTTTTTCTTTCAGTTTATCAACTTTGCACATTTAGTTTAGAGAGTCATGATGTGTTTTTTCTACGTGCTACCTAGTTATGAGTAATCAAAATTCTGCAGTTAGAACAGTGAATCTGTTAATGATGCTGCTAGAGAACAGAATCCTGAAAGTATTAGGGCTTCACACTAGCAGGAACAGAGGCTTAATTTTTCTGTTCTGTAGCTCTTTGGAAGCAGGTATTTTAGAAAGACTAGGCTATATCCCTTTGATAGTTTTTCTCAGTCATGTCTGAGAGATTAACAGTACAGCTTCTGTAGGCAGTGGGTCAGATTAAGTGCTATCTGAAAAAAATATCAGGAATGTTCTGAGTGGGATATCTACTTGAGTGAAGGGCCGTTCTTCCAAGATGTATAGCTTTGCATTTTCAATAATCAAACTTACTGTGGATATGGGCTGAATGCCGCATAAGGCTTTTGAGGTTATGTCTATGCTAGTAAATTAAAAACTGCTTGAGATTGTTCGTTGGGTCAGCTGGCACAAAACATGACCCATGTCCATGTTACTAAAATCTAGTTTGCAGTATGGAGTGGCCACATCCAAACTGCCTATTGCTAAATTGCATTGGCCTATGTTAAATTCTGAATCATGCCCCAAAACTGTCTGGGATAATGCTTGTTGGCCTGGGACAAAACCATGCCAGGGGGCATTTATTTAAGATCAAAGGTGATGGAATTCTATCACTTGAGAACTTTCCATGATACAGTTATTTTACTAATACAAATCTAGCCTGACTGACTTCTGAGATGATTAATTCACTTTGAAATTTTACGGACTGTTGAATTGGTTTTGTCTTATTTAACTCTCTTTAGATCATTTCTTCATATAGCACAACCCAAGATCCCCTGATTTCAGTCAGATGGAGGGGAGCTACAGGCTGATTTAATTGGAAATTGGAGGTTATTTTAGAGTTTTGGGTGTAAGACTAGTGTGCCTTTTGATACACAATATAAGTGGGATTGTTCTTGGGCAATCAAGCTTCTTATTTTTCTTATGGTCTGGTTGTTTTGACGGAGGATATATTTTGAGCTACAAAGCCATTGCTTAACTCAGCAGATGGATATAATAATACATTTGGCATAGGCTGAATGATGGAACAGTGTTTGTTTAGTAATAACTGAAAAAAACAAGCGCGGAAACTACCTTCTTAAGAAGAAGTCCTTATGAGAAAGCTGTATTTTCTGACTGTATTATGCAGGCATATCAGTTTGGATTTGACAGAAACTTTTTATATGTCACAGAAAGATGCAGAAGTGCCACAGATATAGGCAGCTATGGGAGCTGTGTAGGTAGTTAAAGTGATACTTCCAGTATGACACTGAGAGAGCACTTGTCTGGGTAGGAATTCTGAGGAAAGAAACTGTTCCCCACTGTTCTGACTTGTACTGTGTTCCAAGCAGCAGAATTTTACATACCTTCTCTGTAAAAAAACACAATTGCATCACAGAAATACCAGATTGCATTTCTCTGGTCAGAAACTATTTTGGCAAGTTAATGGTCCAAAAGGGAGAATGTTTTTTGTGGGAGTAACTGTGTTAAGAGACAAAACATTAATATTGCATGGGCTCCTCCAGGAGCATTACTGGAAACTCCTGGAGTTTCATCCTGTTATTGAGTTCATCATCACTGAGAGTGATGACTGTGACTGATGTATCTAACATACTGAGCTCTCTTGTCTGAGATAAAAGACTAAGGTCTGTTAGTGAGCACTAGCATAGGCTTATCAACCCAGTCTGGGTAGCTCAGCATATACTAAAGGGGGACTGGAGTATTAAATAGCTGAATGTGGGTTACACAGATCTTTCACAAAATGTGCAAAAAGATCAATTTAGTTTTGTGGTCACTATAAATTGAAAGTACAGTAGAAGACAGAACTGAAACTGCAACCAGATGGACTTCTGGAATAGCTCAAAGAAAGATGATGTTCTAAATGTCATAGCTAATCAAATTTGAAAACAAATATTGTTTCAAAAGTAGCAGATCTGTCCTGTGCTTTCCTGAGCTGCTAGAGAAGAATCATTTTCAAAACATTAAGCAGACTTCCCAGATACAAGGGTTTCTTACAGCATCTTATAGATGTTACTACTAACCTGTATAACCCGTTTGTCAAGCTGTTGAAGCAGAACATCTGAAAGGAGAACCTTGCACTGATCCCAAGACAAAAATCTATTATGCTGGAACTTCTGGTTCCAGTATTTGGTTTCTTTAAGCTGTAGAACTCGCATTAAGAGTATCCTTGCTCTACTTCCTTACCCATGTACCCTTCTGAATAATCTCTTGGATCAAAAGGACTGGAGGAAACACTTAGAGGAATTCCTGAGCTTATGCAAAAAGTCACGGATGCTGGATCCAGCTTGTGCTCTCAAATATAGACTAAATCACTTGACGAGGCCAAGGAGTTTTTAATGAAACTTGCCTATATATGGAACAGACGATGCAAGATGAGTTCTTGAGGGATCATCTCTTCTGCAAAAACAAGTGCTTAACACTAAGCAGTAGCAGCACAATAGCAGAACTTGCTTGTTAGTGCTCAAGCTAAAAATTGGTTGTGAGATACTGTTTTACTTAGAACAGAAAATGTATCATTGCTGGGTGAAAAGCTGGCTGGCTGGCAGAGCCCAGAGAGTGGCGGTGAATGGAGCTAAATCCAGTTGGTGGCCAGTCACCAGTGGTGTTACCTAGGGCTCAGTGTTGGGGCCAGTTCTGTTTAACAACTTCATTGATGATTTGGACGAGGGGATCAAGTGCACCCACAGTAAGTCTGTAGATGGCACCAAGCTGGATGGGAGTGTTGATCTGC